AGTACTCAGTCACCCATTGAACTAACTGAAGGGGGGTAACAAAACCTGTCTCCCCACTCGGTTATGTTCCCATGTCTGTTTCCTCCCAGTCCTTGTGTCAAGCTTCTTAGTGTGTGTCTCATGTTTGCTATTTTTTTGATAATCCCTTGTCCTGTGTTCAAAGTGTTCAGTTTTGCTTCCTCCCTTTCTCGTTGTGTCAGATTAGTTCCAGCTGTGTTTTCCTTTTGTTTCCCATCCCCTCGTTATTCTGTTTTTTTGAAAATGGAGATTTTCCGTTTTCAGTGACCGAAAACGCCGTTTACGAGGGGACAAAAGGAGCAAACGCATAGAAAAACCTGCGTGTACGTGTGAACGTAGCCTTAGTCTTCTGTCTTCCTCTGCCTCTTCTCACACTCTCAGCACATAGAAGGAACGTGCAGATGCAGGGTGAGGGCTGCCAGTTCAGTTTGAATTAATCCTGTTTACATGGCAGTGTTATGGGGATTTTCTGATTAGGCTGAGAGAAAGTTATGATACCAAAAATATTCTTGCCTTTCGTCCAATGAGATAAAGATAAAAGATACGTAGTCATGCAAAAATCTGCTGCTGCTGAACTCACTGGATATATTCATGTTTTTCCCAGGTGCACAGCTCCCAGAGGTACTTCCTGTTTGTGAGAATCATGTACTCTGTGGGTTACAGTGTTTCCCTTGTCTTCCTCATCACAGCTGTTGCTATTCTCTCCCTTCTGAGGTCAGTGATGAGAGAATTAACAAACAACAATATCTGCGTACAACACTGTCTGTTACTTAACCAACTGTGTGTGCCGAGGCACAATTATTACAGATGTTATTAGAAAGTAGTTATTTGATTTATTATAAGACATATACATTATAAGAGCTATTAGGCCCATGACTAAGTACCCTGTAACTAAATGTAATTTCATTTGAATTTACATGAATTTTTTTTTAAAAAAAGAAGAAAAACACCTTATATTGTAAGTAATTTGTAAGTAATTTTAAAACATCATATGTATTTTTAAGTGCACCGTAAGTAATGTTAATTACTTTATAATTTCATGGTAATTTCTGGAAAAACAAACAATACTTCCCCATCTTACATTGTAAATATGCTGTACTGGGGTGCAGGCTGTATAACTTTGAGGTATTTTTCAGGACACAAATAGCACTGCAAGTAATTTAAGTAGAGTGTAAGTCATTTAAGTACAGTGTAAGTAATTTAAGTAGAGTGTAAGTAATTTAAGTAGAGTGTAAGT